GAGGGCAGCGGTCCCCTCGGTGTCTCGAGGAGCCGGGGGGTCCCCCAGCCCCTGGGCATCACAGGGGTTCCCCAAAGAGATGGGAGAGCAGAGCTTGGAGAAACCCGGCAAGGGGAGAGAGCTGAAGAAGGAGGCACGGGCGAGGAGCAGCAGCGAGGGAGCTGGCTGGGACACAGGCAATGTCACCACTTGGACGAGGGCAGACCTGATGCCAGGGGGATGGGTGCCTTCCTCCGGGCTGGCTGATGGACTGAGGGAGGGAGTCGGGGCAATAATCATCTGGGCATCCTTCCTGGGCTGCAAAGCTCTGCATAAATCACTGCCTCACTGAAACAAAGAATTTAGCCATTGATTTCGGTGGGGCCAGGATTTCACGCCGGAAACGATGTAACCGTCTGGAAAAGCGCTGTAAATGAGGATGGAGTGGAATGGGTTGCTTTGAGTGCTCAGTGGGAGAGAAAAATCCACAAGAAACACATCTGATGTAAGTAACAAGACAGAAACAGGATTTTAAAATATGATACCGGCGCTGAATGTTACGATAGTATACTGCTTACATGTCAGCAATGTTCAAAGTGTTGTGAAAGTAAGATCGATGCGACATCCTATTGATTCAAGTTATATCTCAAGGAAGAAAGAAGCCATTTTTAATGCAAACTTTAATTTTATTAGACAATAAATAGAATAAATAAGGAATATCATAAATAAATTGATTATCATAAATATGTTTCAATTTTTGAAAATTACAGCTGAATAAATAGAACAGTTAAAATGAAATACAGTTGAGTGAGGGTTTGAGAACATTTCGGTACTATGGTGTAGCTTATTTTCTAGAAATGTAGAAATTTAACATGAGAGCTTAAAAGGCACTGACAACAGCTTGCTAAAACAGGATTTATAAGAAACTGTGAAATATTGAAAAGCCCCCAACCACCTTGCAGGGTATTGACCCTACTATTTTTTTTACTTTTTTTCTCCTTAGATCAAATTTATCCCCAAAATGCTGGAGGGCTGGGCACTCCCAGTGAGCTCTCCGGAGAGGTCAGGTAGTTCATCATCCTGTTGATGGTGATGGTGCGGATTCGGAAGGCGTGCAGGACACCGCAGAGCCTCATCCTCTCCTTGAAGGAGGTCGGCCCCGTGCCCGCCGGTGGCTGCGGCACGCTCCCGCTGCCGCTCCCCAGGGCCTGGGCAGAGGTGGGGACATTACAAACTGTCAGCAGAAAGTGGCTAAACCAAAAACCTCTTTAGCTGTTTCACCCCCTCCGTGATAAATGACAAAATGTAGAAAGAAGAATGTGTTCTCATAAATGAAAAAATTGAAATGGTTAATGATGTAATTAATAGAATTAGGGTAAAATTTGAAATAGTTAATGATATAATGAATAGACTTAGGATACGTAGCTGTACTTTCCTTGAGACAAAAATGTTCATTGACACACAAAGCCTCTTTCTGCTCAGGAATAAAGATGCTTTTTTAATAATCAGCCTATGGCTGGCTTTGTCTAGCGACCCCTTAGACTGGGCTCATCTGCCTGTGGCCAGAACCTCCAGGCTATTGGGAAATTCTGTGTCAATACAAAGGCAAGTAACTTTTTTTTTTTTTTTTTAAATTAGCTTTTGTTAAACAAACAAGCTTTTGGCATCTACTCCCTCTACTCACTAATAATATTTATCAAAATTCAGTACATCCTATGTCATATCCAGTACACTACCAGGTGTATTAAATTTCAGTATTTGGAAGAGAAATAGAGCTATATTGTTTTCACTCTTTTACTCCATTTTTGAGTTCTCTGAGGAACTGGCAGAAAATCCTGTACCCCATCTCCTTGCAAGAGCAGAACAGCATGAAAGGAGGAGCATGTATGTGTAAGGAGCCATACATCTCAGTCCTGATGTGTTGACCGTATCAGCAAGGCAAAAATATGAAGTGTGACACACAATTCATAAGCGCCTTCTTGGAAAACCAGTAGCAGACAATTTTTAAAATCACAAGAATAAAGAAAGATCACTATTTGTCTGACTACAGAATGGAGCACACTGAATTAAAAACTCTGGTTTCAGACAGAAATAGTAGAAAGGAAGGAGGCAGAAACACTTACTTTCATCATTTCGTCAATAGTTGTCAGAATCTTTTGATCATTGAAGTTCTTCAGCTCTGCCCTGTAGGCATTCAGATCCTCATAGATGCCCTGCAGGCATTTACTCTGCAGAAGTCAGGATTATTAGGAAACGAGGAAATCTCTTGTTAAATGCTTTAAATGTACAACAAGCAAAAGAAGGGGTTATTTAGGGAAACTCGCAATTTACCCTGTCAAAAGTAGATCTTTCCAGTGCTGGACAGTTTCCAGTCTGCAAATTAAAGAAGAAATGAGACATGGTGATTTTTGTGGAAATGTGAATTTTACAGCTGAAAATGTGGTGCTGAAACTTGATATATACTTAGTTTTATTTTTTTTTTACCTCTGGATCCTCAGATGTACAAGCTTTTATTGTGTTGATTTGATTCTTAGTGATATCTTCAAGATCAACCTCTTCCAGGGTACAGTCAAATCCCAGCGTGCCGAGCTCCTGTGTTAAAAAGGGAATAAAAAAGTCATTGGCTCAGCTTCACAGTAATGTGTGTATATCTATGTAAATACACACAATTATAAGTGACGTGTCACAGCTGTCTGCACTGAGCTGTATCCTAGGAATGAGGCTGTGTGAGGACTACGGTTAAATATGAAAGCTAGCAAATAGACTAAGAGCCTGAAATGCATGTGGCATCTAGTGGGAATAAGTTCAGGATTTGCAGATTTGTTTTGTACGTTGTTGTGCATTGCACTGCCTCTGTTACTTTAAATGATTCTCTCAGACATTGAATCTATTCAGAACTTTATGTCTCTATAATTTCAAATGTAAAGTGCCTCTTAGAAAGTAGAAAAATAACTAATACCACCAATGTAAGCATTTAACAGTACTCACTGGCACACTGCAAGTGTGGGAACAATGCACCTATTCAGTGGTGGGGGTTTTTGTGGTTCTCTGAGATGAAGCTTGCCACAATAGCAGGGAATTTAGGAAAAGAAAAAAAAAAAAAAAAAAAAAAAAAAAAAAAAAAGAAAAAAAAAAAAGAAAGAAAGAAATCCCCTTGGCACTACTAGGGAGCTTTAGTGTAGAAAAGTGCTACAGCACCAAACCAACAACACCAGCAACAGCATATGAACACAACGACAAAGACAGGAGCAACTATTTCCTGAGCCAGAA